TGGAAACGGGACGTGGGGCTGCTGGGGCGGGGGGGGGGCCGGGGCAGGCGTGGGCCCCACCGACCCCCCCACCCGAGGACTACAGTTCCCATCATGCCCCGCTCCACCGAGGCGGAAGTGAGACGCGTCAACCCTCCCGGTTCCCATCATGCCCCGCTCCACCGAGGCGGAAGAGGGGGCGATCCCCGCCTCACTCCCGTCACTCCCCGCTCTACCGAGGCGGAAGTCCCGCCTCCGACTCCCAGCACGCCACGCGAAGGACTGCATTTCCCGGCGTGCCCCGCGGCGAGGCGACCGGATATCCGGCGCCGCCTCAGGGAGCCGCCCGGGCCGAGGGAGGCGAGAGGCGCAGCCCCGCAGCCCCGCACCGGCCCCGCTCCCATACCGCTCCCGGCGGCTGGGCCGCCCGCCCGCCCGCCGCCATGGGTTGTACGCTGAGCGCCGAGGACAAGGCGGCGGTGGAGCGGAGTAAGATGATCGACCGCAACCTGCGAGAGGACGGCGAGAAGGCGGCCAAGGAGGTGAAGCTGCTGCTGCTCGGTGAGGAGGGGGCTAGGGGCGGCTTGGAGGAATGGGGGGGGGGGGGGGCTCGAGGCGGTAAAGTGCCTCAGGGGAGGGTGTTGGGGGGTGAGAGGGCCGTGGGAGGGGTCTCGGGGGGGGAGATGAGGGTCTCCCGATCTCAGGAGGGGGCTTGGGTGGGGGGGTGAAGACGGCAGAGATTGGGGTCTGTAGTGCCGCGGCGTGTGTGCACCGAGGAGGGGGCTTGAACGGCCACAGGAAGCGTTAGCCAGGGCGTTTGTGGGTCTCCCGGGCTCAGGAAGGGGCCTGAGTGGCTCAGGGAGGAGGTGGGAGAGGGCTGGGGCGTCCCCGGGGCCCGGAGAGGTTTGAGAGGGCCGAGGGAGCTCTGGGGAAAGGCACCGGGAGGGTTGAGGGCTTTGTGAGGTCTCTGGGGCTTGGAGACAGAGAAGGAGCCCCTGGGAAGGGGGTGTTGGGGTTTTCCAGGGCTCAGGAGGGCTTTAGGGGGGTCCGAGGGGGTCCTTGAGGCAAGGAGTGGAATGAGGAGGGGACCATGAGGCTGAAAGATCTGTAGAGGGTGAGTGGTGGGGAGAGGGATGGGGGGTGGGGGGGCTGGGGAGGGTCCTGAGAAGCCAGAGGGATCCCTGGGGGGTCTGGGGAGGTGTGAGGAAAATGAAGGGCTGGGACAGGATCCCAATAGGAAACCTGGGGGAGCTGTGGGGAGGGACTGGGAAGTCCAGGGGGGGTCTGGGACAGGGTTACTTAGAGTGGCAGCTCTGCCTTTGTGTCACTGTGGAGGGCTTGGCTCTCCACGTGGTCCCTGACCCTAGGCATGGTCCTGTCCCATCACCCCACCTTGGGTCCCTGATCCCCTCCCTGGGGCGAGGGTGGAGGTGACCGCCTGGGCTGCCCTCACAGCGGGGCAAGGGGAGTGTGCTGCTGTCCTGGGGTGGGCCTTTTTCCTAGCCAGCTGCTGCCTGATGAAATAACTCTTCTGTTTCTAGCCTAGATGTTACCAGTGCTCCCTCCTGGTTGCTCCTGGGGGACGGTCCCTCCCCGGTGGCTTTGGGCTGGGGCTCTGAGCAGAAGGTGCTCATTGGGCTGATGCAGGCGTTCTTTCATCTTTGGGTTTGTGGGACAGAGAAGGAAGGGAGAATTCTTGCTCCTGGTGGGATACAGAGAGTATGTTGTTGGGGCTTGACTGTTAAGCTTTTTGCTCAGGATGGGGTAGTGGAATTAAATCCTTTTATCAGGTAGTCAGGTGAAAATGGCCCCTGGGCACCTGTGTTTCTCAGGCTAGAAGTGCCCACATTGGTGTGTGAGCTGCCTTGGCAGGGATATGGTAATCACGCTGGGTGCTCTGGGCCTCACGCTGCCCCAGATCCTCTGATAGGATCTGACTTTACACAGAAGATGATTTCAGTTTGGCATACTCTGCCATAGCTAAGCTGGTTCTGCAGAGCTTGCAGGAGTATGAAACCAGTGTTGTTGTTGCTGCCCTGCTGCTGTCTCTGTATGTACAGACAGCTGAGAAAGGAAGTGTCACTTCTCTGTGTTCTTACTTTTTCCAGCTAAAATGCACTAGTGGGCTTTGAGAAAAGCTGAATGGAATACTTCTCTTTAGAAGAATTACAGGCTCTCTTTAGGAGAGAACTTTTGCTGTATTTGGTCCACATTTTGGTAGCTGTGTTTAGAAGTTCTTATGAGTGATAACTAGAGTGCAGAGGAGGCAAAAGCTGCCCGTTTCTAAAGTCTGTCAGATAAGGACTGACTCCTGTGCTGTTTCTTTGCAGCTTCGTGTGAGCTCAGGACCAGGCAGCGCAGTGTGGGATGGTAGGTGGACCATCTGGTCACGTAGGTCCTCCTCTTCTAACGTCTGGGTTGTTGGTTGTTTTTGTTACGCTGATGCTCTCCATCTCAGGGAGGCAGATTCAGTTCATGGGGACCAGAACAATGGTGTTGAGTGTCTCCAGTTAGAATGGGATGTGTTAATGAACAGTTCTGCTTTACAAGTGATCCTTGTCCTAAGAATACTTTTTTTTTTCCATTTAGTCTGGTTTTACTTGTACCTTTGCAAGAGGTGTGTGATATTGTGTGTATGTAGAAGACTTCTTGGCTGCGTGTCAAGATAATCCTTTCTTTTCCAGGTGTTTGTTTTGGTGTTAGTAAGCAACACTTGCAAATTCTCTGGACAGAATAATTCTTCTTTCATATTTTTGTATGTCAGGTTTTTTCTTTGCGGTATTGTATTCTTTGTGGCAATACTGAAAAGGCACTGAGGGCTTTGGGGCCAAGACTGTCTGACCTTGTCAGCAAATGACAGAGTGGAGGGAGTATCCAAAAGATTGTACTATAATCGGTTTCAAAGCATTAGAGGCTAGATGAGGCTTTTAAAAGTACAAGTAGCAGCTGCCTTTTGGACTGCTGTTGACTTTGGATGGCAGCAAAATACCTGATTGCTGTGCTTCTGAGCTTGTCTTAAGGTAAGGGCTTGGGCACACTGTTATTCCAGAGAAGCTCTTCCGGAATAATTGGACTTGCACACCATGTGACACTGGAGTAGTGATCTGTATCTACCCTCATTTAAAAAAAAACACCTACCTCAGATCAGGTTTGCACCTGGCCATAACCCACAATCTCTCTCAAATGTCATGGTTTTCTAGCTTTAAAAATTAGTGTAATGATTCCTGATGATCAAAGGGAATGCTGAAATGTGCTCTCCCCACATGCAGCCCTGTTAATGTGCAGGTAAAACAAAACAGTTAATTGCCAGAAGAAAAATATCTGCAGTGGGAAAAACGTCCTTTCAGTAAGGCATCAAGAAGCTGATGGAAAAGTTCATGAGCTTTTTCCATTGTTTGAGCAAGTGGTTTTTTTTCATAACATAGTATTAAAATGTCTAGGATACGTAGTGTCTCGTATCATTAACTGGTTGTAAGAGATCATGCGGTGGTTTATGTAACTGGAGCGAGCCTCTTGCAGTACTGCTGATGCAGTGAAGTTTAGAAGAAATGTATTTCTTTACAGATAAAGTTTGGAGTCCATACGCTCTTGCCCAGCTCTGTTAAAATAACCGGCCTAGTTTGGGCTTTGCAGAATTATGTAGGTTAAGAAAAGGCTTGTGCTTGTACAAAGGGTTGTTCTTTCCCAGCTCTGGTGTTAACCCAGCCTGGGTGTTAGGAGAGCTTGGTGAGTTAGCGACGGACCCAAAATCAGATTTTTGGTGCATTTGACTTCCCCCCTCTTCCATAAGCATCCTCTTTTCTTGGGCAGAGGAGGAAGGAGAGAGAATTTCAGCTGTGCGCTCCCTTCTTCCAGGAGCTTCTTAGGTTTGATTATTGCAGCACCTTGCATCCAGGAGGTGGTTTGGGTGCTGGCAGAGGTGGTCTCACATAGCTTGATAACTGTGGGATTGTTGGGGTAAAGGTAATCCTGGAGCTGTTTGTGTGGTAGCTTCTCCGTGGGGATTTCAAGTCACTTCATAATGTTTCCCTTTCACAACTCTGCATGTTGAGCAACTCCTAAGCTTTTGTTTTTTTATAAAACAAAAGTAAACCTGAGCATTGAATACTGACTGACCCAAGGTCATGCCAACCCCTGCCTGTGTGATGTAATTGTTGCTTCGTGTGCAAATGGCATCAACAGCTCTTCTTGAACTGGCACTGGGTATGGTTTGAATGACTGCACACACCAGTTCGCAGCAGCAGGTAAACACTTCTGCAAGAAAAGCCAGTGCTCCTGGGAGGCTGGGAACAGCCTGGGAGTCCTTGCTCAAATCCCCCTGCTAAACACTGCCTCTTTTCTCTTAATTTGCCTCCAGGAAAATGCTATTCTGCAGGCACAGACATGCAATTTTGCTGACATAGAAACCTGTGGGATTTTTCCAGTTGGGATGAGCAGCCAAAATGGAAGAGGGC